GTAAAGATGTACCCTTAAGGCCACCACCCTCAACACTGGTACACTGAAAAGTACAGTTTGGTGTCAGAGACTGAGATTACAGCAAGTAACCTCAGGGGGTTAGATTGGGGTTAGATTAAAGCATAGAGTTATTTTGCTACACCCTAGCACCTCTGAGGGAACCTTTAGAGTGCTATACAGAAAGCTACACCAAAGGTGTTCTCTTATATAAAAAGTTCCAAATAGAACCAATTTAGAAAGCTAGAACTGTTCATTAACTGGACTTTTTCCAGTAGTGTACAGCACTACACTGCACAAGTCAGTGGAAACGCTTAAAATAATAATAAAATAGTAATGCAAGTGTGTGTGTGTGTGTGTGTGCGAGACATATTCATTCCTATTATAATAATCCCAGCTATATTGAGCCATGGAATATTACTCAAGTAAGAGAATATTATCTCTACCCATAAATTACACAGAGTTTGTTTTTCAAAATGAAGCTACCAAGAAATATGAAAATATCATACCAAGAGTATGAAAATATATAAATATGGTTGTGTAGTTACCCCAGAAACATTTTCTTTGGCCATGCATGAAGAGAGATGTGTCATAATTTGTGTTCGACACCATGTGTTTGTGAGTGTGTACTCATTGCCGAGGGAGGGAGAAAGGGCGACTGACCGCAGGCCACCGGGGGAGGGAGTGTTCTGATAAAGCTGCTTATAAAGAGACACTGCCTGATAGTGATAAGAGTTCAGTCAAATTCTAGCAGTCTAAAAACAGAGAGAGGAAAGAGGCAGGGAAAGATAAAGGGGGCATGAGACAGGACGTGAATACATGCAACATGCTGATGGTTGACTGGCTTTTCTTTGTAAACCCAGATTGAGGTAATAAAGATATAGACAAGGGTTAGGAAAATCATGGTCTCCCTCATCGACTTCCACTTACCAATCCCATCACCATTTTCAGGACTGCTTTATTATTTGATTAGATGAGCCCTTTGAAGGCCTGACAGAACAAACCAATATTATTCTAGTCTTCAGATGCAAATCTTTCGACCCTAAGCAACTTCTAAGTGCAGAATCCAACATGGAGATGAGCAGCTGGATGAAGGACATTCTGTGTAAACTCTAGAGACTGTTGTGTGTGAAACAGTCAGGAGATCAGCAGTATCTTAAATACTTAAACCAGCCCATCTGGCACCAACAACCATACCACCGTTAAAGTCACAGAGATCACACTTTTTCCTCATTCTGATGTTTGATGT